TCCGTGTCTTGTGAGAAATGTAACACATAATTAGTTTATGTGTGTACATTTCAGATGTTGGTTGTTGAAAATAACTCCGTTAGTAAAGCAAGATGTACAATGTTCTAATTCCATATTGATGACAATTCCATTACCATACAGTTAATCCTCTTATTTCTTATTGGTTTACAATTAATTTAGTTTGATCACCCTTTTTATGAAAGATGCCACATTAGTGCCTGGCAATGGGTATATCTGATTGTCTTGTGTGAGTGTTAGAAGAAAAGTCAACATCGACACCCTGATTGAAGGAGCTCATATTCAGGGTGCAAGGGGTGGTCATGGCAGTCAGTGATTATAATGGCCTCTTGCACTATCTGGCTAACGTAGATGTTTGTCAGCTGTAGATGTTGTTCACCAATAATTTTGCTGGCAACCTTCACATTCCTGCTCAGTCTGTTTTTATTGCATGAATTAAGGCTACCAAACCAGGCTACCTATGGTAGGACACAGTCAATAAAGGTTCTGTAGAATAAGGTCAGTGTTGTACTGCACACATTAAACGAGCAGAGTTTTCTCGGGAAGAACTATCGCTGTTGGCTGTTCTTACATGTGGCATCCATGTTTTCCTCAAAGGTTAGTTTGTAATCAACAACAGTGCCAAGATATTTGTAACTGTTGACAATTTCTTGCTCCTCAATGACTGTTGGTTTTGCTTCCTCGAATTATAATCGTCGGCCATGTCTGTGTTTTCTGATGCCCTTAAGTTGAAGGAAGGAATTTTTACACCAATGAACGAAATCACCCACCAGGGTCTCTGATCAGGGTCTACGCAAACATCATGACGTGTCCGTCTTCGGCGGGGGCTTCTCCAGCCGTCTGTGAACAGAATGTCCAGGATGGGGGACAGCAAAAAGGGTATGGCTGTGACTTTTCTGAACAAACAATGCAGGCGTAACTCTCCACTTTCTTTGAGGAAAATGTGCTAAGCATCAGTGTCTCTTGTGCAACTGAGAAAAATCAAGCAAAATACCAGAAGTCCATTCAAAGAGAAAAGTAATTTTTATTTACATGGAAACTAAATAACAGTATTTGAGATCCCCAAATGGTTTCATAACAGCTTTTATGGAAATGAACTTGCATTTACAAAATAAGAACAAGCTTTGAATAAATAGAATATCCAGTCCTTTAAATATGATTCGGTTTATACAGAGGAAGTAGCAATATCTTCTATTTGTGCATTTTCTCTTTTCATTTTATTTGTTATAAAAGAAGGATTTTTTTTGTTCTTTTCAGAAAGTGTTTTTTAATCAAAAATAAACCATTGTAATCACAGCAACGTGAAGCCTGAGATTAAGGTTAAAATCTGAACAGGATCACTATTCGGCAACATCATGTTACATTACAGACCCATTACCTAGGAAATCATGCCTCAGAGTTCATTTCAAATTCCAGTGCTGGTTAATCAAGCATGTTACATCCGTTGATTCCAGTTCTTTATTCTCGCATACTTGCTCATATACATTCATTTCTTCCAGATGCATTCGCACTGTGATGCAAACAGAGCTTTGCAGCAAAAACATGGCTCACCGGAGGACTGGAATCTGTGGACCGGATTGGAGCAGTGTGGAATGGCTGCTAAGTGTGAAGCTCTGGGCCTGGTGCTCTCATGCTCGTCATGCAGTTTGTCCACAGCGTCAAGGCTGTGAAGGGTCTGAGTGACATGAGAGCAGAGGACGGGAGCTGTTTAGGGTTATCTGCTTCCGTTCTCCCTCTGTTTTGATAAAGCTTTCCGCGCCACAGGAAGCCACACTGCCACTCGTGTCCTTGCTGTTGGAAGAAGTTCTTGCCATTTTTTTTTGTCCAGCCCCTTTCCTCTTATTTCCGCACTGAATCTCTGTCTTTTCCAGCGGTGTGGTGTGCACACACTGGAAACTACTTTGACGGCCACCACAGTTACATTAAAGTAAATATCGGGAAGCCTTCCTGGGACCAGCAGTTCCACCTGGATTCACTGGGAAATGTATAAGCCTCGCCCGAGAGCCAGGGGGCTTGGTAGCTGCCTACCAGGAGGGCAGTTTTGCCTGTACACGCGCTTCCCAGCCAGACCCATGCAGCTCAGCTCAACAGGAAGTCCCAGAGAAAGGTGGAGACAGGCGAGAGCTTTGGCGACCAACAGCATCCGGTGTGATACACAAAGGGGAGTTGTCACAAAGGACGTGGAATACTGTGGGGATCTATTCGGATACTTCCAGTTGAAGTTATTAGTCTAGCAAAGTCTCTTTTTCATTAGATCCTCTATCTACTCCTCATACACACCGCTGACGTTCCCTGTAATTTCATTCAGCCAATTACTAGTCTGTGCTAGACGAACGTGTGCCAGCAATGCTTCATCTTCTGCTTCATCTGGATATATTACACTTCAGTATGTTACAGTTCTGTGGCTTGAGGCACCAGACGTACCCGAAGGGACTGTGCACCAGGGCACTACATCCCTAACTCTGGTGTTTAAGACCACTGAAGAGGCAAGCAAGGTGTTGCCGTACGTGTACCCACCATGGCTGGGGCGAAGGTTGACCACAAAGCAGAACGAGGCAGTTTGAATAATTCGCCTCAAGAACAGGTGCCGAGTTTACATTTCAGCTGTAAAACTGGAAGTGCACTGAGAGAATCCACTTGCGGTTTTTTACAGTGCTAATTTGATCTTTAATCAGACACTTGTGTTCAAATAATCGATTTGGAAGCAAATAATACAATTCTGACTACTCTCTCACCTGGGTTAATATTCATTTCTGATTTGAGTCGCTTTGTGCTTCAATGAAACCACATCCCTTCAATCAGAACCACTGCTTTTCTGCTGAAGGGCCAAATAACCTAATCTACACAGACAGCTCAGTAAGTCCGATTCAGTATCACTCTGTACTAGTGTTTTTTTAAAGTAACTCAACTGCAGTGTTAACAACAAGAGTCCAGTTCTCAGTTTCTCTCCACCCCACACAGAAGTTGGTTTTGTAAATCTCGCACTTTTGGAACAACATCAGATTAGTTTATAAGCACCAAAACCTTACACACCTACACACACAAATACACCACATCTTCAATGTGTATGTCAAAAGCCAGAAACTGTTCAATTCATTAAAAAAACTCATAGGATCCTCATTAAGATCTAGGAAGAAGAAGAGGCAAAAAAGCAGAGCTGTCCAACAGTGCTGGAGGATTACGAAAGAAGTGGTACTTGGATCAGTTTATGTGCCAAAAAAAGTTTCCAGTAGGTGGCGCTGACGTTTCTCATTTCTAGCTGCACTGACAGAAGAAACGAGTGTGCACTTTCAACAAGGGTCTTAAGCTTTTATTAAAATGTATCACTCACTGACTTTATCATTGTATTTATTTGCTAAATAAGAAGTATTAAAGATTTCCTTTTATGATTTCAAAGGTGCACATCATTCAAGTTATGGTTACCAACATGGGCCTCGGGAGAAGTGTCACCTGGTGAGATCACTGTCAGATGACAGTGTCACTCGTCCAGTTAATTCATTGAACCATTTTCTGACTTTGAAAGCGTGGCTTTAAACCAGCAAACCCTGGATCCCAAAGGCCAATAGCCCTGAAGGTTTGACAGGTACTTTGAAACACCTGTCTGTCACATTAGAAACGCACTGCTATTGCTATACTGTGAGCTGACACTGTTTACCTTAATCTGTTCTCCAGGTACAAAATGGCCAGCATGGGAAATGGCTAATGAAAAAAGTGTGCTTCTTATCTTCTGCAATTTGGTTTGGCCCTAAGTCGGTGAGGATTTTGCTGAGTTTGTCATATCTAACTATAGACAATCCTAGACGCTCAGTCCAGACAGTCATGCTGCTCTTCATGTTGATGAATCCGAAGAGACCAGAAACCAGCCAGTAGAACACATGGCAAGACAGTCCTACATGTTACCTTCACACCCCCAAAAAACATATTTCTGATAACATTTCTGTACAAATGTTTTTATCTCTCAATAAATCTCCCAGTTATAAAAGAACGCAGTTGTGACTGAAATCTGAACCGAAGTCGAGTTGTAACTGAACCTATATTATAAGATTACAGAAATTTAATTTGACTAATTTTCTTTTGTTTCGAGTTTATCAAGGTGTATACTGATTAAATCAGTAAATAACAACAACTTTCCACAAAAGTGTTGATATTGCCAGGGATTGGGGAAATAAAGGACCTAACACTATGAAATGATTTTGACCTTCAGAAACCTTCATCCCATCCCAGTGACTCTGACAAGAGTGCCTTTCAGACACCTGCCAGTATTTAGATGCTCTGGGGGGCTTCCGACTTATAAAACACCAAACAGTGGGGGAAACAACGAAGGTGCCCGGAGATGAGCATTGTGGGTAAGGGGCTTACCCATTGTGTTTAATGTCCTGCAATCAGTGTCTTCAATAATGCATTTTAATGACTCTCTGTGGTCATTAAAAATCCCAGGGTGTTTCTCGAAAAGAGTAGGGGTGTAACCCCGGCGTCCTGACCAAATTTCCCATTGGCCCTGACCAATCATGGCCTCCTAATAATCCCCATCTCTGAATTGGCTACATTACTCACTGCTCTCCTCCTCACTGATAGTTGATGTGTGATGAGCGTTCTGGCACACTATGGCTGCCGTCGCATCATCCAGGTGGGGCTGCACATTGGTGGTGGTGGAGGGGAGTCCCCATTACCTGTAAAGCGCTTTGAGCAATTATTATTATTATTTATGGATTATACAACTGGGAAAAGAATAGGCAGCAGCTTCACGCTGCCGCTACAATTCTATAACACCACAAGGTGGCGCCATTGTGTAAGGAGCTACGAGAAATCTCGGCGAATGCTAGGTTAGAGTTCCTGAATAATAACATGGACGAATGTAATTTCATTTCATTACTTTTCCGTCTATTGAATCTCACAGAAGAGCATGGGCCAAACAGATGTAGGCGAATGGTTCGCTTCATCGCTTCATTGTCTGTGTCTGGACCTGTGCTTCGATTTTTTTCCCTAGTTTTGTTTTCCCCCGTCTGTACCTGGGCAGCTGGAGCTCAGTGGTCTGCGCAGTCTGCCCTGGTGTGCCTCTCAGTTCTCTGAACCAGGGTGCGGTGGAAGGCGGAGACAGCGCGCTTTGACATCGGCATGGCCGAGCGTGCTGATGTAAGACTCGTTCTCAACGCAGGCTCTGGCCCGAGAGGCCGGGATGGAAAACAGAACATGTGCGACAAACAAGCTGGCCTGGCACTAGTGCTGCAACAATGCGACTCCAGCACTTCTGTGAACTGGCTTCTTTTTGAGGGCTGTTTAAAATGCTTCCATTGATTAAATGTGGGTTATATGTACTTCTAAGAGGATACGAACTTCAGCGTGATGGATTTTAAAGCAGGAACTCTGTCCACCAGCAGAGTTCAGACCCCTGTCTCAGACCTTGTCGTTCAAATCCAGGTCCACTGGGATTATCTCGAAGGCAAAATTAAAAGTGCAGACTGAAGTCAGGCGTCGGATGTACAGCAACACAAAACTGTGCACACATTCACTGCCATGTCTTAACATCTTGCTTGCTTGTTGCTGCTCTTCGGAAACAGGGACGTCATTGACCTCTACCCTGCTGCATCATGGGAAGCGGAACACTGAAGGCATTAAAACTATGTAAACCATCATGTGTGTACTGGATTAATCAGTGATGCAGCAAAGTGATTTTGTCTTCTTTTTAAAAAAAAAAACATTTTATATCTTTCTTTCTAAATGATTTGAGCCCTGTTAGCGTTGTAAATCCTTGCACTAAAAGTCAGCACTAAGAGAACACGAGCAGCGTGTCCCGAGAGAAATCAGAAGCTGTGTTGCACTTGCAGTCTCTCCTGGGTGCTGGTTTCCTTTATAGCAGCTTGTCACTAAAACTAAAAAAACGTCTGTACAAATCAGCCCTCTGTTTCGCCAACCATCTAAGCAGGTTTCCTCTCCGTGCCTTTAATTCCTTCATTTTTATTGTTATTATACGCATTATTAGCTGTAGCATTGTATTATTCTTATAGTTATAATTTCTGTTCTAGTTTCTATTATTGTTACTGGCGTGTGGGCACTGCTGTAGTCCCTTCCTGCTCGGCCCGGTCGGTCTGCACACGGCGGCCGTCAGATCCCGGCCTTGTCGCTGTAGAAGGGCGTGACGTGGAACATGTAGCAGTGCGTGCACACCCTCACCGGCTTCATCTGCCCATAGCGTGGCAGGGGCGCCGAGTGCGACGAGCAGCGGGAGCAGAAGATCTGCAATCACACACAGGGAGACGCTTTGTTACTCAACGGCACACGTTTGCAATGCCTGTAACAAGTGAAGTTAAGGACATGGTGTCAGGCCACCAGCAACTTTTTGCAAAACAACACTAGAGCTCAAACTATGTGCTTTTCATACCAGGCTGATATAGCCAATGGTGTTTCATGCTTGGCACACTCCTGCTTGCTGGACAGGCAGCAGACCTCTCTGTCTCTCCTGTGTGCTGGGCC